TCGCAAAGGTAAATTTTCACGTGGAAATCAGCTGGTGCTATTAGAATTGTAATAAGTTGGCGCGTTAGGCCTGAAGATCAACTTTTTCTTTCAATGTCCGATTTTGTCACACATCCGTGAAAGTGAAATAATTAATTTCAACTTCTTGTCAAAGTGGTTTACTTTGCATTTAGCAATTGAAACATTGGAAAGCTTCCGGATCGTTAAAACCGGTTCAGGGACGGTCCGGGATAGGTCAATGGGCCAGGAGTGGAACTATAGGCGTGACCGTTGGAACAAAACATACTTGAACTTTAAAAATACATTTCCTTTCCAACCGTACACCCTAGAGAAATAATGTATGTACTGATAACGAAATATCGTGCGCGCAGGATTTGTAAAACTGAAATGTTTATTGTAAAGATTAAAAAAATCATTAAATGTTAATTAAACCATAATTGTTAGACCGAAACAGTGTACAATTGCATGTGCAAAATATAGTAATACACCTGAACCACAGACTTTGGTGTGTATATCTTGATAAAGTGATAAAGTGCTACACAGGGTGTACAATATACAGGGTGTACGGCTACTCGTGTTACAAATTTTGCCAGTAGATTCTATATTCAAAATGGAACCGAAAAGTCCTAATTAACTACGGTCCGAATCTCAACAGTTTCGGAGTTATTCCCCTTTTTCTGATTTTTTAAGATTTTTACGACCTTGCTTTAAATAAACAATGATATCTCCAAAACTTAATTTTTTTTTACAAATCCATAAGTACCATTGAAAACTACGTTAAATTTCCAATAAGATGTAATCAATACTAAAGTTGTAAACCTTGGTGAAATAAGCGTTTTAATAACCAGAACTTTGAAATTTTTTTTTCAAAGTTGAAAATCTTACTACGGTGATTCTAAACTATTATTTCCAAACATAGAGACCAACAAATTTCAGAAAACGTACTCCATTTAATTGCTTTTTTAATTACTTTTTTAAAGATGAAGAAATTGATGAAGGAAAGGAAAAATCCATGGTTGACGAATTGGTAAGGTGGAAAGATAAAGAAGAAACTTAAGAAAATTTTGAATGAATTTATTAATCTTTTTTTTTAATTTGGGTTCGAAACCGAAATAGTGCAAGTGTTTACTTATTTACCAACATGACGGCAACTTTGATTAAAGGTTTATTGTGTTATTAAACCCCGGAAAAAAAGAGTTTTAAGATTCAAAACGTTTTTACATTCAACACAAGTTTTTTCTTTATCTTTCCACCTTACCAATCCGTCAACCATGGTTTTTTCATTCCTTCATCAATTTCTTCATCTTGGAAAAAAGTATTTAAGAAAGCAATTATAACACTAAAAAGGATATTAAATTGAATACGTTTTCGGAAATTTGTTGGTCTCTAGGTTTGGAAATAGTAGTTTAGAATCACCATAGTAAGTTTTTCAACTTTGAAAAATAAATTATTTTTCCAAGTTCTGGCTACTAACACTCTTATTTCACCAACGTTTACAAGTTTAATATTGATCATACCTTATTGGGAATTTTACGTGGTTTTCAATGGTATCAACGGATTTGTCCAAAATCTTTTAGTTTTGTAGTTATCGTTGTTTATTTTAACCAAGTTCGTGAAATCTTAAAACATCAGGAAAAAGGGGAATAATTCCGAAACAGTTGAGATTCGGGCCATAGTTAATGAGGACTTTTTGGTTCCATTTTGAATGTAGAATGTACTGGCAAAGTTTGTAACACGGGGCAATAACCATACCTTACTTCAAAACAACAAATAAAAAATAAAATTTATCTCGAAAAACGTACGCTTATATTTTTCTAGTTGACGTTGATTGACCTACGTAGTTTAAACTGATGTTGCATTGTATCTTCTTGAGGTCATTTTACAGGTGAATAAAGAACATCACTAATTGGGTTTCACCAAGCTTTCGGCGAATGTTCCGCCATCTTCAGGGCATATATATAAGTCGATCAACGTCAACTAGAATTCTTCGTCGAACTTCAATGTATATGCCCTGAAGATGGCGGAACATTCGCCGAAAGCTTGGTGAAACCCAATTAGTGATGTTCTTTATTCACCTGTTTAATCACCTGTAAATTTCACCAAGCTTTCGGCGAATGTTCCGCCATCTTCAGGGCATATACATTGAAGTTCGACGAAGAATTCTAGTTGACGTTGATCGACTTATATATATGCCCTGAAGATGGCGGAACATTCGCCGAAAGCTTGGTGAAACCCAATTAGTGATGTTCTTTATTCATCTGTAAAATGACCTCAAGAACATCCAATCAACATCAAGTTATATTTTTCCTTCAACAATTCGATTCCAACAAGCTAAAATTGGTTGAAGAACATCTAAAAATCTTTTGATGAGGATTAAATAATTTAACTTACTATTAAATCGTATTGGCTTTTCGTCTTATTATTTAACAACACCAAATAAAATACTCGAATAAACATGAAAGAAAATAAAAACAATATAAATAAAATCTTTTCAATTAAATGCTAAAGCTAGATTTAATGATATTGTGAAAAGCCAGGACGTTCGCATACATGAAATATACCCTATGCTATAGAAATAATATGTTAATTTTAGTCCTAATTTATCATTTAATTTTTTTCTCTGAGAATAATGTATTCAATGCATACAAATTCATTTTTGCCTTACGTCTTTTGTTAAAATTCTCAAATATTGTATTCTAATGATATTTAAGTTAAGGTTCTTGCTGTTACTAATAAACTCAAAGATTTTTTAAAATTTATTTATCGATATATTTACAACAATAACAAATTAAACGAGATCGGAAAATTCATGAATTTTTATAATAAATATTTAATTAGATGGTTTCAAAGAAAATTCACCAAACCACCGGAAAATCATTTAGCCATAGAATAAATTTAACTAACGTATTTATTCCATCACTAAATTTTTCTAATTTTCTTTCAACCATAATTCACCAAGGGAAGAATTTATAAGTTTCATATAAAGTAAAAGTTTCATAAGAAAATTCACCATAAAAAGAATTCATAAGTTTCATAAGAAGTAAAAGGTTAGTTCAAGAAAACAATGAAAATTTATTTAGTGGTAGAATACATTTAACTAACAATTTATTCTATCACTAAATGATTTTCCGGTTTTTTGGTGAATTTTCTTTCAATTTATCGTAATTCAGCGCAAGACGAATTCGTGTTCAAAGGTTCATAAGAAAATTCGCTAATTAGTATAACTAATTAATATACCGATAAACGTACGCTTATAAATTACTAAGTAAACAAAATACGAGTTTCCGGTTTTTTGTCTTTGAGATAAATTTTCCACAATCTCGACAGTTTCAATCTGATTAGCAGTCAAGAAATATAGGACTGGAACGTTTAAATTGTTTAAAGTAATAACTATTTATTATTATCAATTGCTAATTATGATATACCCCATTATATTGGACAAAATATCTATTCTAAACACAGACAAAAGAAAACAAGAAGTTGTAAAAACCAACTTTAACCTAATGAAAAAAGCATAAAAATTCAATATAATTTTGGTTGTTCACAATATTTATGGTATCTTTTTGTGTTTTGTTTCTTATTTCTTATTTTTTGTGGGTTTTTTATGAAGTTAAAAATTGGGAAATAACATTGGGCTCAGGACAAGTTGAAATCTACATTAACCCCAATCCACTCTTCTCACACCGTAACCGCTTTTTTCCCATTTAGCATAAAATTTCAGCATTTTGGTTCGATGTAATAAAAGAAAACGGTATACCGCTAGAAAGCTTATTAAACGAAGATGTTTTTGTGAAATTTGCCAAGCTCTACCGTGAACTTTTACAATGAGGTTGCAAATTTAAGTTTTTGTAAATTATAAATTGAGCAACTTTTGAAAGATTTAGGTTTTTCTTGTCAAAAATTAAAAGGAAAGTCCTTAAAGGGTGGCTTTTTAATGAAAACTTAACGCTCTTTTCAATGTTTTTTGTTTCTCAATGCTACGACATTTATGACGAAAACCATCGATAGTTGGGAAAACTTTTTTTGAAGATCTACGAAAGGGTTGAGAATCTGACAGTAGTTTATAGGAACTTTTTTATCACTCTGGAGGTGTGAAATTCACTGGCAAAGTTTGACGCGAGTAACCTGACACCGTTATACTTAAAAATGTGCACCGAGTGCGCCTTTTCAAGGTTGATTAACCGTTCTCTTTTGCGCAAGGCTTGTTCTGAATTTCTTCAACCGACTGTTACGGAATAACGTCCTATATGTGTTTACACGAATAGATCGATTAGGCTTTTAATGTCGTCAATAAAATCTATCAAGGTCTGTTTCATTGATCTCATTAATGTATACCTCTAAGAAAAGGCGAAGTCCATAAGTAAAAATTTGTACTCTGCAAAAGTTTGTCATTGGAGGGGGGGGGGTAATTTTGGATTATGGATCTTATTCACGTGGCATAAAAAGGTTTTGGTTTTTTTGGGGCGGACGTTGTTTGTTGGGATCCGAACCCGGGACCTTACTCGTTGAGATCACCGACGTGACGCCCCCACTCTACACTTCTTGATTCCTTCAATGGAGAAAATCCCCCTTCCATTATGAAAGTTAAAATTTAGGAGGCTGATCCCCTGTTACATTGCAATAAATTTGTTATGAATGTAAATGAATATTCACTAATTTCGTGGTCCGCTTGAGGGGGGAAAACTCATAAGGTGGGGTTGAGATGGGGAGTTGATGTCCAAGTGGATCGAGGTCACGATAGCTCAAGTGGTAGAGCAGCGGCGTATCTAGCCGTGGGTTCGAATCCCTCTCGTGCCATTAACTTTTTTTCATCTCAGCTAAAAACCTTAATTAATTGTAAATGAATATGGTGATAAATAAAAATTCGCTTGAGAACCAACCATCAGCGACTCAGTGGATCAGGTTTATCTACTACCAATAGTTTACCTAACCACCAACGCGTTTCATCATTTTATATTGTTAACTAATATAGCTGTCTTTATTTTCATATTTGACATTAGCGATGAGCAGTTTGCCGCTACTCTTACTGGGGCTGTCCTATGTGGCCGGGGAATTAGAGATAATGTATCAATGGACGTTGGCCAAATTCGACACTCCGTTCAACTATCCCCCAAATACCAAATATAGAGCCGACACGACCTTTATCAACAGTGTTGAGGTCGGTTGGGACAGGGTGTTTGTCACGTTGCCGAGGATCTGGTCGGGGAACCCCGCATCACTCGCCTGGGTGCCCAGGCCTAGAAAGGGGCAGCCTAACGACCCATCGCCTCCACTTCAGGTAGGATCGGCACAGGATTTTTTTTCTGGTTAAATCGATTTATCAAACATTTTCAGGCATATCCGGGCTGGGAATGGCACGTAGAAGCAGCATCGCGCAACCTCACTAAGGGCAATTGTTCCGGTTTGGTGTCCGTGTTTAGAGCACGGCTCGACCGGTGCAACAGGCTTTGGGTCCTCGACAGTGGAGTCCAAGACAGTCTGGTCACTTTTAACGTTGTATGCCCTCCTCGAATTTTCATCTTTGACTTGAGAACAGACCAGCTTGTCAGGATGATAACTCTCCCGAATGAAGTACTGAGGAGGAACACGCTACTCTCCAACATGGTTCTCGATGATCAATCCGACTTCCAAAATGGAGGATACGGCTCCTGCGACAACATGTTCGTGTATATGTCTGACACTGTAGCCCCTGCGATAGTAGTCTACGATTCGACCAGGGACGCAGCTTGGAGACTACAACATCCAAAAATGTATCCCGATCCCGACTACGGCACTTATACAGTAAGTTGATTCATAAGCTAACAGTTATGATTATTGAAACGATTGACAATTCAAAGACGATATTTTAGCTCGCTGGTGAATCGTTCACTTTAATGGACGGAATACTCGGAATGGCACTGAATCCGGCGGGAAGTTACAGAAGGACTTTGTTCTTCCAGCCGTTTGCTTCAGACAGACTCTTCGGAGTACCTACATCCGCTCTCCAAAGAGGGCCCAACCCAGGTGACGATGCGGAGCTGCCCGTCACACTCGTCGGGCATAAGTCTTCCCAGGCGGCCGGACTCGCCGTCGACATTCGAGACGGGTCACTCGTTTTCTGCCCCGTCTCAGAAACTGCGATAGCAGCTTGGCAACCGGGGTCGCTCGACCACAAGTAAGATGTCTTTATACATTCGAATTTTCGATTCGTGTAATGTTTCATTTTTTTAGGGTTGTCGCATATTCTCCCGAACTGCTCCAGTTCGTCCTTGATTTTCGTTCGGCGGATAGAGACGAAGGAAATATGTGGCTTGTGAGCAGCAGGTTCCACAAATACTTCAGGAGGACCGTCAACCCAAAAGAGTTCAACATCAGGATCATGAGACTTACTCCTGAAGTAAACCATCTGAATAGTACTCTTTTCGTCTTCAAGAAATAATGCAACCATAATGTCTGAACTACAAAAATTATATACAAAAGTGTTGAATTTGTTGAAATTACTTAAATTGTAATTACTGAATTTTTAGAAGGTCATAAACTTAATATTTATTATGCTAATACTTGACCCCTGTTAAATGTAATTAGGATTTGAACTCAATTTTTGGGTTCTTTAATTCAAATTGTTAACTTATACCAACTTTTACATAAAAATACGTTATTTGCGAGAGGTAAATAAACATATCTCTACAGGCTAAAAAAGGTATGCTAAAAATATATTTTGATAATCTGAATTTGCCAAAAACATTTAGTCAGCTACCTGATTTAGCTACATATACATAAATTTTTTATTGTAAAATATGTACACTAATGTAATATAGCTCAATATTTTTTTATAGTTTGCCAATTCTCTTTATGATATTCAATGGAAAATTTAGTTTTCCTTTTTTCATTGATAATAAATTTTTTTACTGTATTTCAATGTTTTTAATTAATATCCAGCTGAACAAAAAAAATTGTTAACTTATTTTGTCTTAAAACGTAAACTTTACAGTTTTCCAGTAAAAATTTACCTCATTATATTTACTTAGATAAGTTATACTATTCAATTATTTCATAAATAATTTCACTAATTATTCAGAAATCGTGAGATGCGGTCTGGTGTCATGTAGGTTTCAGAAAAACATTTTCTTTATCGTGCCAACGTTTCGACTTTTATTGAGATCATCTTCAGGGTTCAAAGTGTTTGTCTTCTGTGTAATTGTGCCATTCTTGCGTGTCGTGTTGGGTCGAGGGCACTCTCAACACGACACGCAAGAATGGCACAATTACTCAGAAGACACACACTTTGAGCCCTGAAGATGATCTCAATAAAGATCGAAACGTTGGAACGATAAAGAAAATGTTTTTCTGAAACCTACATCACACCAGACCGCATCTCACGATTTCTGAATAATTATCGATCAACGGTCACTAATCACCACACAAATAATTTCACTAATTATTTTTATAAGAGGATAATAATTATCTATTAATGATATGAACGAGTGACATTATTTAAGTGCTTCATGTGTTGTAATTAACGTCCTAGAAATTGGAAATCATTATATATGAATGGGACCTCCTTTTAGTACTGAATACAGTTACATTTGATATGAAAATGTTTCTTAATGAACGAACAAATGGACTTGCATTATTTCTTTGTTTTTGTTATTAGCTTAACAAGCAAGGCCCAAAAAAGAACAGTCATAAGCTTATAAAACATAGCCAAATGTGTAAGTAAAATAAATAATATAAAAGTAATGTTACAAGGTGTCCCAGAGAAAGTGAGGAAAAAATTGGACGATAGTACACCCAATTTTCCTACAGACTCTACACCTATCTTCAGTCCCTGACGAATTACGACTGTTAGTTTTTCCATGGAAACGTCACCTCACTTGAACAAAAAAAAAAACATAAATATCTACGTCAGGGCTATCACAGTTTTGGATTCAAACATTATAGGCTTTACACCTGAACTATACAGCTTCTCCTTAAGGAATCCCCAAACGTAGAAATCCATGACAGTAAGATCGGATGAACGAGGTGGCCACGGGATGACTCCCCCTGTACCAATCCACGTGGAATATTTCTAGTTCAGCCAGGCACATACCTGTTGGGTGTATGTGTACAGTTCAGTAGTGAAATGTGCTGAAGATTTAAGGATTAAAATCCCCCAGATTTCTGATAAACTTGGAACTAATTTATCCACACCAGTAGCTGACTAACTGTAGGTGGCATGAGAAAAAGAGCGCAGATGTGTCTCAGACATCGTGGTCATGGTTTTGAAAACAATTTGTAATCTCTAATACTTGTAAATCCTTCGATGATTTATTATGGATAAAATTATAAAACTTGATAACTAAACAGTTCTATTTATCATAATCACCTAGCAGTGGTATCATGTATGTTTTTCAGTGATTGATACGCAGTAAGTCTACTACAGTCATGAGGGGGTTATGGATATTGGAAAGTGTTTGAAAGCTTATTAAATAACAAATTTTTTGTGAAGCTTGAAAATCTCTACGATTAAACATAAGATCATACCTAATTTTACATTATCAATTAAAAGCAAACTATGTTTCAAATTTCTGCATTTATTGAGGTTTTTAATTGAAAATCATTTCAGACTATATAGCATAATGGAAATTTAATGGTAAATTCAAAACTGTGGTAGCCCTGTTGAGAGAGATTCCTTGGAAAAATTAATAAAAATCCTAACTATTCAGGGACTGAAGATAAGAATAGAGACTGTACTTGGACGTGGTTGCATATAGGGTGTACTCTCACCTAAACTATTTTTTCACATTTTCTCTGGGACACGATGTACATGTTAAAAACAAATGTAGCATGTTAAACGTTCATCTGTAAACCGACAGATAAGAACGTTAAAATTAGAGATCTCCTTTTTAAAATTATACTAAGAGATTGAGAAAAAACTTACAGTCTGCTGGAATTGAGTGTTAGTGCTAGTGTGACTATGGAAAATATATTTACAAACACGTCTAGGTCACAGGAAAAAATTAAAGAGAGAGAGAGAGAGAGAGAGAGAGAGAGATGAGAAAGTACGGTTGGAGCATCGCCCATGAAACCTGATCCCAAACCGGTAGATCGTATATACTAGGCATTACATTGTTGTTAGCCAGGGATCTCCTTGTAGTGTGGTGTCTGTATGGCCTGTTCAGTCTCTCGGCTTGAAAATGTGCACATCTGTATATTGTCGGGAAAATCAGGAACATCACGAGGTACAAAGACAGCCCACCGTTCTACGGATGCGGGCTCCTGCCAAGAAAATGCCGGTTTTTACCTGGACAGTACATTGTACTAATGTTTTGATTAATGCAACATTTTTCAGCCTAACAGTGCTACCACGTTTGTGCCTCGTTGTTACTGCATGTGCATGTATGCAATTATGATATGGAATCGCTTTAGATATGAGCGATATTTACTCAGTTAGTGCATGTGCCATCTTGTTCAGTTCACATGACCTCTCTTTTCATTCCATACTCTGTCGTCACACTTTGACTCCAGATATGATTGTTACATCTTGTAGCTGATCAGAAGCGAGAGAACAGTAGCCGCCTCCTTTGCGCATTTTCTTCTTGTTCAATCGAGTTCTACCGTAGGGATCGTATTTCTTCTATTAACGGCTTTTGGTTAGTAGATTGTCTATCACATCAAGAGTGAATTGGCTGTCCGTGTAGATGATTGTTGCTCTGCACTCCCAAATTCCTGCTGTCTGCTGGGAGACACGAGGGCCAGTGCACTAGATCCTGTCTGCAAAGACGGGGGAGGGTGTATGGCCATCTGTACCACGGGGTGACAGAATGTTTCCAAAAACCAGCCCTTGTCACATTGGGTACGGTTTCGTGGTGGGACGTGGTGACGCCCCTGGCGGGAACTTAGACAGAGGCTGTCTTCTATTTGTGACCTTTCGTGAAGCTTGCGTATGGCCATCGTAGTAACCCCTGGTCCTCACGGAAGACGTTGCGACCGGACGACAGCATGTAAGCGGTGAGGACGTAATGATCATGCTACAGTCCCTCGAATGCGTAAGTAAGCTGTTGGAAGCGGGTAGTGAGTCGGCGTCTTTGACTCGAGTATGCTTTGCATTGTTGTGCGTATGACCGGCGTGGTACCCTTGGGGAAGCGAAGGATCGGACCACCTAGGCTAGACCTATGGCGTGCAGGTGTAGGCTGAGCTCGATAAGAGACTTTTACCGTAGACAGTGCTCATCTAGGGGGTGGGTAGCAATTCTACTTTAAACTAAAACCGCTGGGGGCGTTCCCGGAAGTTTCTACGCTGGGGAGCCTCTATACTCAGAGAGATAGAGTGGCCTTCTCTATCTAGGGAGTACGCGAGGGGGGGGGGACGGGCTGATGTATTTCGGCCCGTTTAGCCCCTCGCGTGCGGCGTACGACCCGACGCACAATGCGGGCCCGACCATTCGGAGTGGACAAGCGGAGAGCGTGGGTTACCGGCCCTTAGGGGCCGGGATACCACTACACCAATGCTTCGGCGGTAACACCATTCCGTCGTATGCAGAAGTGCGTCAGCTCTCATCTTGAGAATCAAAACGTCCGATAAGGCCGAATAGGCTAGGTGCGGACGTTAACGATCCTCTTGTCTTGTTGACGATGAGTACTCGGGAACGGAATGTCTGCTGGGAGACACATTTCACTGCTTGTAAAATAGCGAATGCCTCGGCATGGTTGTTCGAGCTATGTTTTGCTAGCCTGGATAACTTCTGAAAAATAGGAAACATTTCGGTCCATCACCATTGCGCCTCCACCATGTCATCGTGTCGACTACCATCAGTAAAAATCCTATGGTAGGGTATTAATCCTATGGGCAGTATCGTTTTTAATTTCTTGAATACCAAGCTTCATTCTTAAAACTTAGATCGGAATTCGCTTGTTTTCGCCTTCACAGAATCTAAGATCGGCAACGGTGTGGCATACACCTTGTATAATAAGGATTTAGGTCTCGCGACCCTGCAGTGTTTATCCGGTGGAGCTGTAGGCTAGGTTTTATTTTCTTAGTCGAATGATGCCATTCATAAGGAGTTCCATTACTGTGTTATTTTTTTTGTGTTCAGTCATTTCAACAGTTTCTTTTATTTTCATCTCGATCGAAAATCCCGGTTTCAACAGTTTTTTCAGAAAATACGTAATTTGGTATACCAAGCTTCATTCTTAAAACTTAGATTAGAATTCGCTTGTTTTCGCCTCGTCTTCACAGACGGATCTAAGATCGTCAACGGTGTGGCATACACCGTGTATAATGAGGATTTAGGTCTCGCGATCCTGCAGTGTTTATCCGGTGGTTGTTATTATATGTGTCACGACACATGTTGCTTGGAATGATTACAGGATGACTACTTGATTTAATTAATGATATTCGATTCAGTTAAAGCGCCTAAGTACAAAGTGACGCAATGTTTGATATCGTCGAGTTTGATCGATCCGTCCCGCTTGTTGTTGTATAAATAAACTGTTTGAATAAGGTTCAATAATAAATGTAAAGGGTCGTATTATTTTTTAATGATGTACGCCTTCGCTCAACTGTAAATGTATTGTATCCCCAATATAGTATTTCAGGTATCCCACCAAAAAACAATCTGTCAGAGAAAGGTCCGGTGATCGAGGTGGCCGCCATTGGACCGGACATCGGGTCCCAATTAATTTTTCTTAAAAACGTTCTCTCAAGGTAACTTGATAACTACCGTGTTAACTTGGTAACTCCGATGGCCTATTTGTTCGTGGGAACACTTAAAAATAAGGTCTACTCAACTTCACTCATGGCTCCAAGAGATGACATGAACAGGAGGTTTGAATTTAACCAAAAATTCCGAATACATCTGGGCACCAAAAAGGAATGGGAAAGAAAGGGAAATAACTCTCTCAAAAATGGCACCATCCTTTGGTACACAGATGGATCTGGAACGCAGGAAGGTACGGGGGCAGGAGTGTTTGGACCCGGAACCAAATACTCAGAACCCATGGGAAAGCACACCAGTATCTTCCAAGCTGAGATTCACGCAATTGAAAGATGTATCCAATTCAATCTAAATAGAGGATACAAAAACAAGAATATAGCTATCATGTCAGATAGCCAAGCAGCCATCAAAGCACTAAGCTC